ATGGAAATTGCACACCAAGAACTGAATCAAAACTTTCTCCATTCTTTCACGCGTTCATAAATTCAGCCATTACCTTTCAGAGGCTCACAACCTTTCTGCAGATCCAATTCATACAGATATCAACTCCGGGGTCTTTACAAAAAGATACATTTCTAAGTGCAAAGCTGTCTGTGAAATGGAACCAGAGAACTGCTGAAGAGTAATGCAAGGTACAAGCAAACAGGACATTACTAAAAGTGAGAAGATACAAGAGTTGCTTCCCAGTAAGTAAGACAGAGTTTGCACATGTCTGACAATCCAGATGTACACATAAAGCAGTCAACCTCATCCATACAAGTTTGATATCAAATTTTACAAATTAAAAATATCAAGCATTTGCACTGTGCAAAATGGAGTGGAGGATCATAGCTTTTAACCTGGCAACAGTGGAACAGCACTGAGGGCTGGAATTCAATGATGTATTAAGCCCATTCTGACCCAAGCCAGTCTGTGATTCTAACTAGAAATGAACACCTCCGTTTCTATCATTCTTGCACCACTAGATGTTGCAGATATTAACATCTCTGAGGGTTCAAAAAGAGACTGCACAAATTCACCACAGCTATTAAAAACCAAACGATTCAATACCAAATTGTCTGTTTACAGGTCTCTAAACTGCACCCTGCTAGAAGCTGGTGAAGCTTCCTTCAGACAATCCAGCTATCTACACGCCCTAGGCACCTGCTATCACTCACCATCAAAACAAGATACTCATATGGAAAACACCTCTGGTACGAACTCATTCTTGGTCTGCATTTCTTTGCACGGGGAAAATGAAGGTAAAATATCTAAAGCTGGTTCAACACCTACACTGCTCAGTTCCCTCATTTTAAAGCACTATGTAGGGCACTTGTATGGCAGCCAAGATATTTATATAGCAACAGTTCTTAATATACTTGCATCACTCACGAGAGCTGGGGAAAGCACCACAAATAGATAACTCTTCCTCCTTCTCCCTTAGCTGAATTCACTCCCCCCTTGAGTTTTACTTAACACTTAAAATAGCTTTCCGAGTAACATCTGTGATATTTTTAATACAATGTTAACTATTATCCACAGCCTGTTATCTACAAGAGAGGATTTGTGTTAGTCTCCCTTCCATGTACTTTAGCCAGGTATTAGACAGGTAGACCTTTGGGGCTACGCTCTATTTTTTAGTTATTTCTGACTAACAGGATTTCCTAGAAGTCACTCCACCATTCTGATGGAGCAGAGCTGCATTCTCTATGAAGCACAGCCAGCAGCACTTAGCTGCAAAACAGAATGAGGCTCCCACTGCACTGGGTGCTGCACCAACACAGAACAAAAAGGAGCACATGCTGCTCTTGCACCCTCCCCTCTCAATGTAAGAACACCACAAGTCAATATCTTTCTCCAACTAAGGAACCCGTGTGGAATATGATCCACTGCTGGCACAGCCATCAGCCCACCTTTGCTTTTCATTATGGCTTTATTTCTGCTCATTTCCAAAAACACTGCTCTACAACAATGATCTTAACACATGTGCAGAATCATAGAACAGCCTGGGTTGAAAAGGACCACAGTGATCATCTAGTTTCAATCCCCCTGCTCTGTGCAGGGTCACCAACCACCAGACCAGGCTGCCCAGAGCCACATCCAGCCTGGCCTTGAATGCCTCCAAGGATGGGGCATCCGCAACTTCCTTGGGCAACATGTTCCAGTGTGCCACCACCCTCTGTATGAAAAATACTGCTTTTATTTCATCCTGTATCCAACATCGGAATCCTTCCTACGTTTTTCATCTGATTAAGTGGTGCCAGGTAGCACCAGTAAAGTATATGCAGTAATTTTCTTCAAATGGCTGTATGAATAGATATGGGTTTGGCCTCCTCCCGAATTTTACTTAGCAATTATTACTCAAACTAATGAAACAAGAGGTGTTTGAAGATTTATTCAGAAATCAGTTTAGCTGACAAGATATTCGCTTCAGCAAACATTTAATGAGAAGAATGTCTTCACAAGAGAGGAATTTATTCTATACAAAGCAAAAGAATAACTGGTACTAGTACTGAAAAATGCCGGATTTCTTACATTCTAATGGGCAAATTAATCTTCAAACACATGTTTTGCAAAGAGAATTCTGCACTAGACAAAGGCGTCAGTGATGACTTAAACCCAGGAAACTAGGAAAGCATATATGACTCCTAGCAGGGTGGAGTCTGCTGGCCCTGAAACTATGCATGGGCAACAATCAAATGAGCCAGGATCTCCATGCCATGCAAAGGGCCCAGATTTCCAGTGGGAGGCTCTCCAGAACAGCTGTGATAGATTCTAACTATCAAGGATTTGATGTGCAGCTGAGGAGTACTAAGGTTTTCCATAGTATATGCACAAAGCAAAAACTATCAGAGACCATTTAAAAAGTTAAACTTTTAAGTACTGTAAAAGTAGGTAAACAAGGACATTAATTAAAAATAACACAAAACAGACAATAGCAGATGAAATAAACAAGGATGAAAGCAATAGCCATGTCAACCCTCCAAGCCCCCAAAAACTAGAGGTGCTGAGCCACAAAATAATGACCACACAAATAGGCAAAAAATTCTCCTCCATGAAACTGAACCCCTTGAATCTTTTTCCAAAACAATCTGAATCTACACAGATCTAACAAGTCTAGATCCTGTTGTGCCTACAGGCAGGCCCTGTTCTGAAACTGAATCAACTGAAATCGCTGATTTCAGTGCTTGCTGCCTGCAAGCATTTCACTACCATAGGGAAGCCCTACTATCTCCCTAATGAAGGCAATATGTATGTTATGTAAAGACATAAGCACACTTCTGGACAGTATCACACACAAGGAGTTTCCATGCAAATAAAACTGTAACACCGCTGTTATAAAATCTTTTGTATTTACTAGCAAGTATTGTTATCCTTAAATGTTTCCATTGTTTCCAACTAGAAAACAGAAAACAATTTCTTTGTGCTATTTTGGAAGATATCAACACAGTATAAGAGATCTCAAGTCCTAAACTAGATTGCTTATTAAAATGCACCAATAATAAAATTGGTGATAATCTGCACACCAAAATTGGTAGAGACAGCTGAGTGGGAAAAAAAATACACTATTTTAGAGGGTGCACCTCACATCTACTGTACCAGAAGTTTGTTCTGCTTCCAGAAGCATTACAAAAAAATGGGATGCTTAACGAGAAGAAACAGTTCCAGTCAATAGCAACAAAAGCAAGATTCCAAATCACTACCTCTCACGTAGCTTCTGCAGGCTGAAGAGGAAGAAAGCCAAGAAGATGGAATGGTTCTGGCAATACAAGTAACTCATTCAAAACTCCCCCCACTTGTAATAGATATCAAAAGACATCTGTACAAACACACTCCGCAACCAAGCTCCTTGGTAACTGGAGGTATGCACAGCGATTACTTGGAGCCCCGTAAGAGTAACCTGACCTGAATCATTCTCTAACTCATACATGAATTTGGTTAAGCTTTCTGCAGGGTCTCTTCTGATACGAAGCAGAGAAGCCTGTTCTACCTAACAACAAGCAAGCTTAGCTCCCAGCCAAAACATGGGAGGAACTGTACAACATGACCTCGGGCACCACTAAACAAAATAAAAGCGCTACAACAAAAAACTGTTCAAATGTGAACTTGTGGGGTCTTACCATAAGGAGATGAGGTTTTTTAATCACTACATGATTTTTTAACCTCTTACAGAGTTTCTTAGAGCAACTTCGAGCCACTCACAGTTGGATGATGATATCTTCATGAGCGCTAGGTGTGACCGTCGAATAAGAAAATCATGATTACATTGAATTCTTTTGCGAGTGCTTTGAAACCAACTAACGAAAAGTACTGTTAAAAGCTATACATTCTAACTAAGCTTAATAATAACATGAAGCATGTACTAATTTTCTTCCTGGATGTTAATTATAAACAAAACAAATTTTATTTGGCAGTTCAGCAGAAGCAATCATTTATGTGATAAAAGGATTCGGGGAGCTTATGGAAGTTACACCACAGCACTTTGCTTGGTGTAAGCTTACAACAGAACCATCTGAATCTATTCAGCAACTTACTGAAAAAAATACAGTGAATGAACTGCCCATCAGGAACTCAGTATAGCTCCCAAAGCGAATAGGCAATTTCGGAATAGTGAAATATGAGAAGGGCTTTGGAATAAACACTTGTTGAGTAGGTGAGAACAAATTCCACAGGCTGCCACTCAAAATAGTGATGTATTGTACAAAACAACCCACTTTCTATAGAAGTCATTCACAACAGCAATAGCTGGCAGTCTTCTGGGCTGTTTGTGATTTTCAAAGCATCTACCTACACACAGACCACAGCCTACTGCTTTGTTTCAGCCCCATAGAAATTGATAACTACCTTTTTATAAAATACCACTGGGGGCAGTGCAAGACAGACAATTTTTGGAAATAGTTCCATCTCACTTGGCTCCAATCACCAATAAAAAATCGAGGCCCACTTGTCCACATTTCCCTTCCAAGAGCTCTTGGGTTAGGGACTGCTGGCATGAAGCTGTTTCTCAATCAGGATTGCAAGATGGAGTTGAGAGCAACCCCTGGGATCACCATCATGTTTGCTATTGCAGAAAAATCTGTGATGGTGCGATCGAAGCAGTGTAACCAGGAACCGTGATGTAAAGAGAAGTCTGTTCTGTGAAAAGCCTTTTTTTTTTTTTTTTTTTTTTTTTTTTTAAGTGAGAACTGAGTAAGCTTTCAATAGAAACAGTTAAACATTTGTGGCTCACATTCACATCGTCATCTTCAAGGGTGCCAGTACCGTACGATGGCAAAGCACTCGCTTTCCGAGCGAGCGCTTGGTATTCTGCATTTCATTAGTCAGATAGTTTAGGGCTTCAGACTTACACTTCACAAATCATTTTCAAAGACAGCCATTAAGCAACAACTGCGCTGTTTGCAGCTGCCGTGCGGAACGCAGCAGCAGCAGCACGTACCTCTTACCTAACCTAGCTACAGCACGGCGCGCCGCTCACCCACCACCAACACCGGGACAGGCGCTCTCAGCCCGGCAAAATGAAGTCACCGACGAAAACGACGCGGTTGCAATCCCATCTTTTAAAGAAGCAAAGAAAGATCTTCTCTACGGAGGCCTTTGTTTGGTCCTTCCCCGAGATATCGCGGGGCTCCGAGCACCCGAACGTACCGATAACCCGGGCGGCCCTTCACCCCGTGTTCCCCCGGGACACCCGGGCACGCTCCCCGAACCGCCGCTGCGAGAAGCGGGCACCCAGCGGCACTCGGAGCCGCCGGCCGGTTCCATTCTACGCTGTACGACGCGGCCCCGGGAGCGACCACGGCCGGGCGGACCCCGGCGCTTCCCCGGAGCTCCGCGAGAGCCCCGCACGGAGGGACGGGGAGCGAGCGGGGCCGAAGCGGCGCCGACGGCATCGCACCCCGAGAGCCGTGCAGCCGGCCCGGCCCGAAGGAGTCCGCCCGCTCCGCACCGCCCGCGTCGGGCGCAGCCGGCACCAGAGAAAAGCGTGGGCTTCTCGGCCGGCCCCAGGCTAATCGGAGCCCATCGCCAGGGACGGCGACCCCCGCCCCGAGCGGGCTGCCCGCCCGCCGGAACAAAAGGACGACGGCCGCGGAGCTGCCCACCCACCCACTCCCGCTTCGCACTCACCTCAGCGAAGCGGGCGGCGGCCGCTCGCAGCCCCGCGCTCCAGCCCCGCGCCCGCCCCGGCCCCGCGCCGCCTCCCCCCGCGCCCTCCCTCCCGTCTCCGTCTCTCACCGCTACCGGATCGGCGGCGGCGGCTGGGCCCGACTCCCCGCCACGTGACCCCACCGCCACGTGACCCCGCCGCTTCCCCGCGCCGGCCCCGCCCCCGCCGTGCGGCGCCGCGGGCCCAGGGCCGTCCCCCCCCAGAGGCTCTCCTCACGGACGCGGGGCGGCGGGGCGGCGGGGCGGCGAGGCGGGGCTGACGTTGCGTGGTTAGCGGGAGCTCTTCTTCGGGGCAGGCTTTGAGGGGCCGAACCCGCTATCGCTGAATTCTTCTCTCGTCTCCTGGGTTCAGCTCGAGCCATCTGCGCCCGAGGGAGCAACAGCAAGCTCAAACGCAACTCTGAGCCCCGCGACTGGGGACCCAGGGCATCCTAGCTGCTAACCCCAACTTCCAAAGAGAAAGCAGAAGACAAAACTTGTAACATTTTTAACAATAGCACATGCTCGTTAAGTTGCCTACCAGGATGCTGCTGCCCTATACACAGCCACGTTACAGCTAAAGAAATGACTGCATCACATCAGTCTTTTGCAGCTGCCATTCTGCATGCCTGTCGCTTACAGTACAGTCTTGGATCGTCAAGCATGTTAAAACGCACTTAATTCACACTCCAAACTATTTTTAAATAAACAAAATATGTAACAGTGAGAGAAAACTCAAGGGGAAAAGACCACTTTTTCCTTCAACAGGTTCTGCTCCATCCATTCATCCAATAATAAGCTTGACCAGTTCATTATGCTACGGAGCTAACAGCAAAAACATCTGACTGACAGAAAAGGAATTGCACACAATATTTTCTAAGAGTGTTTCATGTCAATGGCAATAACAGTCATACAGTTTGAAAAGGAACACAGTTCTGTTCATTTCAGTCACAACAGGACGATAGTTTCACGTTTACAGGACGATGATTTAAGTTTTACTTAACCAGCTATTAGAGGAAGTAGCTCCTTCCATTTCATTTCTTTGAACAATTAATCCCGTATTCATAGCCCTTCCCTCTATGAAATCACAGCCTGGCCTCTTTTTCAGGAAAACAGATGACAAATCCCACTTATCTATAACAACACATAGAAACAACCTCTGAAACTCACTTGCATTATTAATGTGTCAAGCATATGATTTTTATTTTTTTTTTTCCTAGGTAAGATATTCACTCTTTCACACATTAAATGTTTTTTGTTGCACTTTTTTTTTTTTCCCCCACCATTTTATTTCATTTTTCATGCCTTCTTCATTTGCACACTTTATGTTCATTTACTAAGAGGAGAAATGGGCAGAACAAACTAACTGATAACAACAGCAAAAACAAAAACAGTTTTTGAGTTAGCCAAAGGAAAAGATTTCTACAATAAAAAGTGCTCTTTCTTCTCTCAAGTGTACTCACAGGAGGCAAGCAAAATAAGTTCAATTCACAGACTTCATCATTATAAAAATCTGTGCAGATCTTTGAGCTCTACAAACTAGTCTGTCTAATTCTTTGCAGGATTGAAAGCTTGGCATCAATAATTTGCCCAACTTTCTGCAAATAGAATTAAAATAATGCATTTTTAAACTGGCAACATATATTTATTATTATTTTCAGACTTCTACAAGAAAATTAAATTTGTACACCATCCTTGCAGTTGTGCAGTCCTAGTGGCCCTACGTGAGCAGGGAGTTGAACCAGATGACCTTCAGAGGTCCCTTCCAATCTAAACCATTCTGTGATTCTCCACTGCATTGTGATCTTGTTACATTTTGAAATTAAACAGGAAATAGTAGTTAAAAGCCTCTTTTCTACCTTCTCATCCATCTTGCTCTTACACCCTTTACCTTCAAAAGAGCAGGAATATAACTGACACTGCTGACAGATTAGAGGATTGCTTGGCATGTTTACTTGGCATAGCCAATATGTCAGTAGTGACAACACTGCACAATTGTGCAACGCTTATCTGTAAGTGACACCCTTTACTGATACAAAGGTAGGCACCATTCCAAGTTTTCTGTGATTTACAACTCGGCCCATCTTTCCTGTAAAATAAAAGTAAAAAATTGTAGGTCTAGATGCTACATCCCTCAACCTATTGTCATCCCAGAATTTTGTTGTTAGTTTGTTTCCCGGGAGACTAGTATTACAGCTAAGCAGTTACCTGACAAGAGTTCTGGCGTTGGGTGGACTTTGTGTTGGAGCACATTCCTACACATGTACTATTAGCCTTTATCTATAATAAAGCTATGTGTTTGAAAAAACAAAACATTTCTTCCAGCACCTTTCTACTTGCTGTTGTTATTACCATCTAGAATTGCTCAAAGCACATAGCTAAAAGCTAACAGATACTACATTTTATTTTTTAAAAAGTGTTTCATGAATAGCAATTTTAATGGTTTCTGTTCTGCAATTAATCTGCTTATTACTGTCACACAATCAGAGGACAGATTATTATCAAGATTTTTTCTTATATGAAAAATACATCCACTAGTATGAAAAGTATTACCATGTTTTTCCTCCTACTAAAACTTTTATTGTAGAAATTTGTTAACCTTTCCTTTGGACAGCTCAGGAACTGTTTTTGTTGTTGTTGGCCTCTGATTTACACTCACCAAAAATGATGTGGCTTAATTCAGAGCAACTCTGAAAGCAGGATAATGGTGTGGATACATACAGACCAAGCAGTAACATCTGAAAATGACAGTTTCAGTTGCATCATTACAATGTGGTGGGATTACAGAATGAAAACATTAGGTAACTAAACATCTAAGAAATTTCAGAGCTAAATAAATAGCATTCCAAACTCTCCTGCACAAACGTCTTTCTAGTGGGGTTCTTTGAAGTTAAAATAGTTCATCTGTAGCTTAAAGCATTTCCAGAGTGACACAATAATGCTTCAAAGCACAATAAATCTGTGACCCACCATTACCGGCAGCAATTTCACAAAAAGCAGTTTAAAGTATTGCTAAGAGCTCCCCTTACTGGTCTGCCTTGAAATTGTTAGGCCCACACCTCTTCCAATACAAAACAAAGAGTGAAGTATTAACTCTATTCACATTAAATATCATATTTCTATCACAGCACCTATTTCTTACAAATTTCTTGTTAGCTGCTGAGTCATAAGACCAAAGATTTACTTTAGGAGAAATTTGTTTTTCCATCATTAAAAACCTACGAAGTGTATTGAAACTTAAATGTATAACAAACATAAACCCTGCCAATGTCTGAGTTATACAACAGACATGGAGATCCAATTCTGACATAGTGAGTAATGCCTCATTTCACTCATCAAGTAAGCTCTACCAGCTTTCATGGGATCATTTGTGAGAGTCAGTGCAGAGAGAGGACTCAAATCTGCTGTGAAATTAGAAATGCGAAAAGATTTGTTAGAAAAGCTTACTATTTTTCTTCAATGGCCTACTGTCTGGTTAAAAAAAAAAACAAAATTTACCTCTCAGCCTTTGTTCATGTACATATTTTTTAATATAGATATCTATGTTCAGCAGTGTATTTTTCCATCAGTATTTTTAGAGATCTACTTTTGAAGTCTCAGCTTAGGGGCGAGCTGAAGTTTGACACTTGTGGTGATGATGCCAACTAAGAAAAGTTAAAATAAGCCATGTTAATAAAACCATGAAATCCCATCACTTAAAACTCATAGAAGAGGATCTTGTTAATGCATAAAACATCTTTTCTAATTTGTTCTCACATACTTGAGGTGACCGCACAGAGTTCTCTCTACTCATTACTGGTTATTCCTTCCTTTACTGTACTGGGTAATTATTCTCCCTTGGCATACTGTTGCACTGGAGAGAAGGAAAGGGAATTTGTGTGTTTATATCACCCCAAAACATTAATTACAATTTGCACTTAATTAATGAAAGTCATATTGATAAACTCATTTAAAGTTTCAATTACTACTCAAAAGTTACTCACAAAACACAATAAAGTGAACTCCAAAGACCTTTTTTCAGAGCTATTAAGTAGCAAATAAAAGATGAAGTTCAAGTAAGCATCCCTTAGTAGATGCTTACTTGATCCCTTACTAGATGCTCCTGTCATGCTCTTCCTCTGGTCAGCTAGATCACAGAATAATCATATAGGTTAGAAAAGACCCTTAAGTCAAAACATCAATCTAGCACTACCAAGTATACCACTAAATGTCCTCATCTTTTAAATACTTCCAGGGACTCTCTCTATTCCCTAGACAGATAGTTCCAACTCCTAACTGCCCTCTTCTTGAAGAAATTCTTTTGGATATCCAACCTAAGCCTCCCATAGCACAACTTGTAGCCATCACCTCACATCCTATCTCTTGTCACCTGAGACTGACACCTTGCCCTCCTTCAGGTAGTTGTAGAGCATAGCTCTGAAAACCAAGCTTCCCTTTGAACTGGTAATTAAGAAGTCTTTCTTTACTAAAACCAATAAATTTGTCTATTTTAAGCAAGAAGCAGGATAAGAAAGAAAGGCGTAGCACATTCTTTTTTTTTTCCTGTTATCTATATCTTGCCATATTTGCTATCAAAAATCTTTGCAGGTTTTATCATCATGCACTGGCTCCTTATTGAATAAGCCAGAGTCTAAGTTAGCGAGTGACACATGCAGATTTTTTTTACACTTTCAGTGTGAAGAAATGAGGACTCATCTTTGTAGATTTTATCAGAGGGGCAGTGGAGGACAAAGAACTAAAACAAAAAACAAAAATCAAATTTCTTCTTATTAAGTAGAGCAATCAACTCTTTATTTCCCCCTTCCTATTCACACAGGTTCTTGTATTAGCTTCAGTAAAAAAAAAAAAAAAAAAAAAAAAAAAAAACAAACACAAGTAGTTATATCTAAAGGATTGGTCCACTATTATTTTGGTATCTAAAACTCATTAAATTAGAGAAGAATTTGATTTCATCTGACATGCCTCCAATGTATGGGGAGGCTCCACCAAGCACATACTTTCTTTACATTCTCTGTCACACTATAAGCAAATTTAATCAATTCCACACGAATATAACACACCAGGAAGGTTCATAAAGCATTCCAATACAGAAACATCACTCATTTTTGGGTCATACCATTTCACAAGATAACTCTAAAGGAAAACCAGAAATCATGCATCAAAAATACCCCTCTGCACACCCTTAAGTGTATCATCTTATAATTTATTTTAATAAAGAAACCATAATCTTTCAAAGTGAGAAACAAAATTCAGTTCAAGAGTATTTTGTCTATGAAAATTACCCATTTTCCAAAATAATCACCTCACCATAGAACTTAGTAACCATGGTCTATTAAAACAGTAACAACCCAAACTACTGAAATTTGCTTTTTAAAAATTGGCAGCAATCTCATTTCTCATTTTTTTTTTTATTTCTGAGTAATAGGAAAAGAGTTCTGGTCCATTAACTCGCCCACTCTCTCCTGGAGGAAGTTAACCAACTCTGCTAATACAAAGACATGAGTTTCATCCAGGTCTTGTATGATGAACTTCTTTCCCAAAGCATTTGATTCATCCAAGTAGAGCAGAAACTGCTTCATTGCTGGGTCACTGTAGAGACAAATATACATCAGATTCCACCTCATTGTAATAAGATACAGCTAAAAATTAAGAACATCCTTTTAAGATATTCTGAAAGCTCTTTCAAAAACTGTACTAACTTCAAGAGCTGCTCACAATCAAAAGATTAAGATGCTCTTGAAAAAGTTGTTTCTCTGGCAACAAAAAATGCCTTTGTTATTGTAGAAATAAAAGTGAACTGATGACCAAGTCTAAAAAGAACTGGCTGCTAAACTGGCAGAGAAATGCCACTATATTGCTATTACAGAAGTACCTTAAAAAAAAAAAAAAAAAACAACAAAACAAGACACGACAAACAAAACCAAACCCAACAACCTCACCTTAACAAGGTGAGTTTAACCTTGCTGTTTTCAAAAACAGTGCCAAAGAAACACGCTATCTTGAAACATGTTCTTAAGGGAAACCAAAACCCAATACAGCAAAGATCTCAAAGTAGAACAGCAGAGAAAGGAAGAAGTCATACATTAATTATACATTTATCACACTGTAATTGAACTGTCCCTTCTTTTTCATGTTATCACCTTGCAAGTTAGATACAAGCGTTCAGCAGAGAACACTTCAGAAGCTTGAAAATTACATGAACATCTGCGTTATACTGATCAACTAGACGGAATAAACTTCTGGATCCACTGAAGTTCTGAGTAATTCAGTCTTAATATTTATTGACAGTTGTGGGTCCTCTTTTTATTTTTCTAATAAAAAACAGGAAAATCATGCTTTTGATAAGAATTGATACTTGGGTGCAATAACTGGTAAATGGACAAATGCAGGAAATAAATCGCAGTCAGGTAGCGCAGAATAATTCGAAATCACTAACATGGTTGTTTTGACAAGGTAGTAAACAGCAACATTATCTTAAAAGAATTCCTTAGACAATTATTTTATACTCCCTTACCTAAAACATGTATGTGATGCAAAGGCATGCATTAGAGAACCATATCTCTCTGCACGTTCAAGCACTAGCAATTCAAAAAAACAAGATTAGCCTCAAACATATTAAAATAAAATTACTCTACAAAGAACGTAATTTTGAGGCAAGGAGAGTAGGAAAGTCTAATTTCCATCTTTTTCAGAGAAGCTATTACTTAGGTGCTCTAGAATGTTAGAAGAAAAACAATTGTTACACAAACAAATTATGAAAAAGATACCAAAGTGTGTGGTCCTCAGCCTACTTCTACACATTCTTTTTGATGGCTGCACAGAGGTTTGTTTTTGCTTGTTTCTTCCACACGTACCTTACCAATGCACTATGATTACCAGAAGCATAAGCTGGGATGCCAGCCTGCATGTTAGGCAATATACTCATTTTCACATAATCAGCATAAAGGACTTTAATCAGTGCCATGATACGTGTGTTTCAGCAGAAACACTGATCTTGTTCAGCATTTGAAGATTATAATCACTGAGATTTTGTCCTAAGAACAGTTTAAGAATATATTGGAATAACGCAGGGGGAACGAATAATATGCAGGTTATTATTATCAGCATTTTGTTGCTTTATTTTAATGTTTTACTTTAACATATTCAGAAGCGTTTATTTTTTCCCCAACTTCTTGACAACTTATTACCAAACACATCCTGGAAAAAATGAGTTGTAAAAAATTTGTATCTGAAAAGTAAACACGGGGACAGGCTTGTAATAACTCTGCATCTTCTCCCAGGATGGAATCATCAGCTAGCCTTATGCAAAGCCAAGAAGGAAACAAGAAAGCAACCAGCAGCTAGCAAAGCCAATACAAAGGTGAGTTTCCCAAGGGGCTGTTTAAACTCTGATGGCATAACAGACGCTATAGATTTCTTGTCAGATAAAAGATTCCCTTCCAGGGAGGATAGTTTCATTCTAATATTAAATGGGAAGTGATCACAATGTTGTACAAGAACACATGCATCTTTCAGAATATATAAAAGAAAGAGGAAAAAATACAACACTATACTAACTGCTTGAGATATTAGAATTTATTGTTTTGCCAGTCCACAATTCTGCTTTGGTGTCTTTAGAAAGTACAGGAAGGCTGTTTCTTGTGGTCAGGTTTGTCACCATACTAACATGCAGCCAAATTAGAGCCAATAAGCTTTTTGTGATAGTGCAATTCATACTCCAAGATGCTCATACCCAACTATGAGGCATTCAGATGTGAGCTGGCTAATGTCCAGTCAGCTTAGAAGTGAACCACAGTAGGCACACAGCTGTATGCACCGTGCAGGACGTTCTGCATTTATGCACTTATAGTCTGTTAGTATGCTTACAGTTTAAGCACACGGCAGAAATCTTGTTCTTAATATAATGATATACAATGACTCCATAAACCTTAACTGATAGCTTAACTTAACTGGAGGTAATTGTTATCAGAACCTTAGTCTAGGGATTTCAGACTGCAAACTGACTGCACAGATATGAACAGCTTACTTTCTGAAATTATAAGCACACTCTTTTTAGAGCAGCCAGCCTTGAGTATAACATGAACAGGAATCAATGAAAAAAGAAAACAAAGGATGAAAAACAGACAAGTTTCCCTTTAGAATCAGTACAGAAAACACATCACCCAGGAACAAAACTATTCAACGTTATTTGCAGTACAGCAAACAAGAGGTACACATGACATTAAGTCTAAGTAGAAAACAACAACATATTTGAAAAACTGAGTTTGGAATTAAGATTTCTTACAACTGCCTCTCTCCTTCTTCCCCTAAAGACCTCATCTTTCATTTGTCTGTTCAGTATTCCTTACATACAAATTCATTTTTCGGCCTAGACTCTTAAAGCACCTAAAATATTTCCAGTTCTAAAAAACCAGTTGAGCAGATGCTGATGCTGTCACTAACCATTCAATGAGAACGCCCTTCAGAACATTCACCATCCTTGCAGCTCTCACAAACGCTGAAAGGTGCGAGTGGCAGGAAAAACTCCTGGTTGGTGTTACAGATAAAAGCAGATGAAGCCTGTAAGACAAAGAAACGCCTCTGCTGAAGTCGGCGACCCAGGAGGGAAAAATAAAAAAAGCGAGCAGAAAGCAAAACACCGTTACCCTGCGCCTAAGCCCGCTCCTACCTCTTCATACAGGCAGCCACACGCAGGCACCACCCGCCCCAAACCTCCCCCCTCGCCCCGCCAGCATCCAGAACGGCTCTGCCTCTGCCTCCGCCTCCCCCCCGTCCCAAACCTCTCGTTGCCGCATGCGAACCGTGGCCTTGCGAAAGGCGGCCGGGGCAAAGGCAGACAGGCTCCGACCTGTCCACAGGCTAAGCCGAGGGCGGCGAACGGGCAACTCCGGCCCGGCAAGCCCAACCGCTCCGTCAGCCGCAGCCGCGCAGCACACGCTCACTCACCCAGCCCACACACGCGTACTACGCAAGCGCGGCTCTCGCTCCTCCTATTGCCCTCCTGACGCTGCGCTCGGATTGGCCGAGCGGCGCGCGGCGTGATGACGTCATGGGAGCTCGTGAGCAGCTGTGCCGGCTGCGGGGAAAGATAGGAAGCGGAAGGTACCGGCAGCGGCGGGGCGAGCGAGGGGAGGCGGCGGGGCGGCCGGAGGGGCTTGGGCTGGGTCTTTTCGCGGTCCAATGCCGCTGTTCGTCAAACCTCAGCCTTGAAGGCCCTCCTGGGTTGGGGCCGGCCGCTGACAGCGCTCCGGTTGCGGGGAGGAGCCCGCGGGGAGTCCGTGCTTATTAGAAATGTAATAAATGAAGTCAGTGGATAACCGCGGCGCTGAAAGGAGATAAGGCTGAAAGCTGTGGTAATGCTGGGGTGATGTGAAGGGGAGTCATCCCTGCTTCCAGATCGGAGGGCCTGATGGCCGTTCACACGTGTTGCACTTCATCTTTTTGACTAATCGTCACTGTGGCAAGGCAGATGTTCAATATCTGTATTTTCAAAATAAGTACGGAGGTGATTTACATCTGTTTGAACAGATTGGCTTCACATTTCTATCAGCGCATCGTAATTCAAGTGCTCACGTCACATCATGACGTTTTAATTTCAAGTTACTTCTGCAGAATACCCAACCAGTGTAATTCTTGCACTGAAAATATGTCTGAACGTTTGGATGAAGCCTTCAGCAGAAAGAATGCAGAGTTTGATTGGTGCTGTAGGTAGCCAAAGCCAATTAGGTCACTATCCTAACCTCAGGTAGGCTTTTCTTGTACAGGTAAAATGTATAGGTAGTAATAGTTGCTAACATATAAAAAGGTGCTAGTATGTATAGACGTGAGTGGTAGATACAGTAATTGGCTCTTTCACAAGTCCTAAATTGCCTCATTTCTTAACACTTCACCCGTACAACTATATATTCATCAAATCTCGTTGTGTAGATGCTAAAATACATCTCTTACTAACTGTGGTGTTACAGTGTAAATCAGTAAGAAAAGACAGACGTTATCCAATTTGCCTTCTAGCACCAACAATCTGTATGAGTTGTTAGAGCCTGCTAAGTCAGTGTAAAAGACTTAAGCGTTAAGGTGAAATGAATTATGAATAGTTGATTACTAACTTGTATTAAATCATGTGTTGTACTGAGCTCTGTCTTCACGTGAATGTGACATATTTAAGTGAGGAAATCAGAAAAGGCTCCAAAGCAGAGCAGGTAGCCAGAGATACGTACTTACCAGTATTAACATGAATATGTAATTGCACAAAACACTTCTGTAAGCTTTTATTGTAATCAAAATGCAAACTACTAAATTTGAGAGTTTACAACTTTTTTTTTTACTTAGTGTTTTATGTGGCACAGAATGTAAAAAGATGGGGAAAAATGATTACAGGTTTTCTACTATAATTCCCAAATCCTTTTTTTTTTTTTTTTTTTTTCTTTTTCTGAATGTAGAGAATGTCAGTGGCTGCTTACTGCATATTTTGCTGTAGACAAATAGGAACTTCTGGTCCAGCCACCAAAAAACAGCCATCGTGGAATGATATAAGTAAGTACAGTTCTATAAGTATCAATCAGAGGTGTTATTAAAAGAGGAAAGAGTCTGTGTGGATGTAACACTGTGCATGCTTAAATGACAAGAGATCTACACCTCTGCAAAGTTTCTGATCAAAAGTTTTGTTTTCCTAAAGTGGATGTCTGCTTCTGACTTGCTTTGCATTGTAATGATGATAACTCTAGATAATGCTGATGATGGGAGTCCCACCAAAATACAAATCTCATTAAATTATTTTAAGCTCATTTTTATCTGTTTTTTTTTTTTTTTTTTTCTTTGGTCATTTCCTAATGATTAGCACAATGAAAACATGGTGTCCATAAACTGCTAGTAACAGGGCAGCACTTGAATAAACTTTGTTTCTTTCTCCTTTACTTTTTTTTTTTTTTTTTTTTTTTAAAGTTCTACAATCTTCTCTGCTTTCTTTAGTATCTTGTATAAAATGAAAATTCTTACAGTTCTAAGGTGTATTTTCCTGGATTAAAAGACAAGATATTTCTATTTCTGCTCCACAGAATCACTGCGGTTTTTTTGTCTCTTTGCCAGTTATTTCTTCAGCTTGTAACTGCTTCTTGTCTGCATGCCACAATTCTTAAAGTCTTGCAAAGGCAGAAGCTGTGGCAGTGGGTCTAGGGCAAACCTCCTGGTTCATGCTGAGGAAAATCAATTATTCTTGATAGGTGAGATACATTCCATTGGGCTTGCCGCTATCGTAGCAGTAGCGTTGCACTTTACTCACAACCCAAAGTCCAGATAATCAGCCAACCTTCACTCAGGACAAATAATTCAAATCGGACAGGAATCCTTGTATTTAAAAGAGAAGCTGCTGCAAGTGGTGTTAATTGAACTCTTTGCTCTGTAAGATTGGATTCAGTGGAATTATTTGAAAAATATCTTTGCTTAGAGAGATTCTGCAGGGATTTTCACATGCACTGAATATCCAGTCAAGAAGAAAAAGCTAACTCCTTAGCATAATGTGGAGGTTCAAGCAAACGCTAGTGAGAGACACAGTTGTTCTTGTTGATTCTTACAGCTGGGGAATGAGTGCAATTGACAGGTAGCAATAATCACAGTAAATAGCAGCCGTAGGAAACCTTTCATTGCCTAGATTAAGAGAGCAGGAAATTCTAATCCAGCAAGACCTTATTTAACTTTAAGTAGTGATTTTCCAAAAGCTAGACAAAAATAGAAAAAAACCTTAGTTGCTGAAGTTCTTCTGTCTGGTTATCACATGTTATGTGTTTATATTGACTTGATGCACACAACTTTCTTTGACGTCCTTTTTTCATTTTTCAAGGAAAAATTGCAAAAGTAACTGGATCACTTATACTAGGGTAAGTTCTAACTAGCAAGCTTACATGTAAATTATGGATACATGTAAAAACTTCAATTCATGTTACTTGCAAAAAATGTGACAATATTTGAGGGGTTTAGGTACGGTGGGCTGTAATTTGGAATCATATCTTCTGGTAGATTTACTCTTAGTTATTTGAGAGTTTCTTTTCTGTGCTAAATTGATATAATCTATGGACTTCTATGTATGTTTGGTAAAATCTGGTATTTGTAATTAATGAATAAAGGATGATTTATACCAAAATGATTGTTAAGATATTTTTGCTGTAATCTTCCTCTTTTTCAGTAGTATTCATACACAGCTTTCTTTCATTTAAAGAGGTTTTGTATTCATTACATATGAAGTTTTGTCCTTAAAGAAGTTGCTGCAAATTGATACTCAAGCTATACATCAAGAGAAGCTTAAATCCCATGTGTATATACGTACATCTTCTCGAAATCCAAATGAATATCAAGGTAAGATGTCATTGTTTGGAATCCAAAAATAAAATGTTAACAGCATACAATATTTCTGGAATTTACTTGTATATCCAGAAATATACATTTTGGGATATGTTACAAAAATAATATTCACAACATCACCTAATTTATTCTTAAGAGATATATACCCATATGTATATATAGTTACCTTATAAAGTATAAATATGAATATCTTAAAAAAAAAAAAAAAAAAAAAAAAACACAAAAACCAACAACTAGCCAGCATCTTGAAATATCGTGCCATATTAATCTTTCAAACTTAAGTAACCTAAAAATGCTCTTTTAGGGATTACATACCAAGCCAGAAAAGAAATCCATAGAGCAGTAAGGAAAATTCTCGAGACAGAAGCTAAAATTTTCCGGAGACCTTTTAATGGTAGGTGTGAAAAGCATGTGTAGTACCTGTGCGTAGTACTCTATCTAAAACCTAAGCACTTTTAGAAAGTAAAATAATTATATTTAAGAACTTAGTATTTCCTCTGTTTCAAACACAACAGAACATGTTATTTAATAGCATTTAATGTAAGTTTCTGAATTAAAACTTTCTGTGTATTAAAACTGTATTTAAGTAAAAGTAATGTTTAAGAAGAGATTTGAAGAATAAATGAAGATTTATTTTTTCCCCATTTCAGATGGGAAGTGAAGCTTGCAGTACTGAGTTAATATTTGATACCAAAGTTTTTTTTGTATCAAAGGAATTTTTTTTTTCAAAAGCTATATTAGTAGAACAAGGGGTAACAGTTTCAAACTGAAAGAGAATAGATTCAGATTAGATATTAACAAATTCTTTACTTTGAGGGTGGTGAGTGTCAATTAAATGAGTCCAAGCTCTTTTTGGTGGTGCTCAGCAACTGGACAAGGGACAAAGGGCATGAACTGGAACACAGGAAGTTCCATATGAACATGAAAAAGAACTTCTTGACTTGGATCTCACAGAGCACTGGACCAGGATGCCCTGAGAGGTTGTGGAGTCCTTCTGTGGAGATACTCAACACTTGCCTGAATGCTTTCCTATGTAACATACAATGGGAACCTGCTTTAGCAGGGAATTGGACCAATTGATAAACCGAGGTCTCTTCCAATCCCTATGATTCCATGATTCTGTGAGGTGTGGGCCCAGGCTGCCCAGGGAGGTTGTGGGTGTCATTCTGTCCTATTTTACTGCACCAATTAGTTGTTAACAGTAATTCAGAGAAATACTTTAACAACTAATACTGAAGTACTAAAAGGAACAGATCATTTCTTTTTAATTCAGTGAAATGGAAGCTCGCCTGTTAAAATGCTCATTAGGAATAACTTGGGTTTCATTTGTTTTCTGCTAAAGAGCACTTTAGTACATTTGATGGAGAAGATCATGAATGTGCCTTGTGGCTCCTCTTAAAAAGGACTCAGTCAGAAGACAAAGAGGTCCGACTGCAGGCTGTGCAAGAGCTGGCAAAGAACGCTCACTGGCATGGTAATGTATGCTGGTATAGTTCAATTCACCTACAAAAATGCAACCATGTCTCCATTATCTGCTGCAAAGCTGCTGCTGCCCTGGAAAAATTACTAGTAGCTGAAAGAAGTGTAATTTGGACCAGAATCAGGGTTTTTTTTTTTTTTTTTTTTTTAAACATTGCAAGCAATTTTTTGTTACTAATACTCTTCCTTATTGTGATGATCAGAAAGATCAACGCACTGGAGGGGCAATATAGGAGTATAATAGCAAAGGAATTAGCATGAATCGAATGGTGTTACACAGGAAGAAGAAAGGTGCTCACCCATCTCCAAAGATTAGGCTCACAGAAAACTCCACAAAGGAGGAATCTCCAGAAACAGATCCTTCCACAGTGGCAGTCAACCCTTAAATGAACCTGTAGGCCTTCATCTGTGCTCTTAGGGCTGACCAGGTCCTTTCCCCAAGTGCTCAACCAGTGGTTCAGGCCATGACTCAGCAGTTACCATACACTCAAAGCACAACTGCAGTGTGGGCCTCTCTCTGCTTCCCCACTACATTATCAGGACCACCATTTAGTATGATGCTGTCTTACTGCTGGAGAGCAGTTCTGGTTCGTTGGTTCCTTGGCCTTTTAAAGCTGTTAAGAATAGTACTGCTTCTAGTACTGATTGTTGTAAGGCTCTGCTGGAAAGGGGTTTAAGGCTATGGTTCAGTTAAAGATTGGTTAGGAAATGGTAGGTAACCACAACAAGGCAGCAGTGACAAACTAGAAGTAGAGGACTTGCACACACAAACATTATTTATAAGCCATTTTCTGTCCTAATTGTTACTGTTACCTTAATACTGAAACATCCTAACGATTTTTAACTTTTCACAGATTTATCCCACAGAAAAAAAACTAGTTTGATTTAATGCTATGGTAACATCAGTTACATTATTAGTACATTACATGTCATACACTTATCTGTAAATAGGGAAATCTGCTTCTCTTTTATGTTCTTTTCTCCCTTTGTTATTATAATGCCATAATGGGATGGAAAGTACTGTGATAATAGCAGAGTGGCAAAGTCTTTGACTGCAGCAAATGAGAATAAGCCTGAATGTAGCAGCTGCAGAAATGAAGGAAAAGAGCTGCTTACCTTTGGAAGGCCTCAAGTAGGCAGAGATCTCCAGCAAGAAATGCCCTCACCTCCACTGCCAACTCTTCAATGAGATCTGGGAAGGGCTGGATCATGACACCCCTTCCAGTCACTCAGGGCATTGCATGCACCTGAGCTCCCCTGGGTTGGCCCTGCCTTCCCAGCAGGTGCTCAATCACTGCTTCAGACAAGACATGCATTTCCACTACAGTTACCTACTTCAGTATCTTGTAAATCACATTATAAAGCATGGTATAGAACTTAAGGTTCTTGAGTCCTGTCTCTTCTTAAAGCAGCAAGTGTCCTTGAACTTCCAAGTAAAGGGTATACATATACACCCTTTTCTCCACTCCATCACTAGTCTGTGTAAACTAGGTAGCACTCTAATCCACTCTGATTATCCTGGTAGTAGAGTCAGTTGACATTTTGTGCAATTCCACACAGTGGAATTGTGTGTTGCTTCAGACTGCCTCTTTCAAACTCTAATTATCTCAAATTGTTTACATAAAAAGTCATATTTGAAAACATTTGAGAGGCAGATGTACCTACACTGAAGGTGTGTGTAACAGTTCAGTAACAGCCATCTTAGTTTCACATGGGAAGACTGCCAGCAGATTTTCTGAGGCTTCTTTCCCTGCAGACCTCCTGTATCATTCAGTGCATAAGATGGCCAGTATGTGGGAATTTAGTTGCTCTTTGTTAAATCCTTTTCTCTATAATACTAATTGCTGTAGTATTTGGATGTTTTACAGGCAGTAATAATTCTTGCCAACTACCTCATAAAGAAAGTGGGTTTATTTTACTCTGATATTGCAAAACTCATTCCAGCAAAGATCTGGACTGGAAATGTGCTACCTTTTCACAGCTAGAACCAAATTGTTCAGCATACATTATCATAAATGCTGCGTCCTGCTCATCCAAAGCACAGCTTTAGTGACACCAGTTTGTGGCTGCAAGTGATCTGCACCAAGGAAAAATGATGCCTGGTCTGTGATTGTGAAGCCTCTTTTAAGTAGCCTGTCATTTTTGTTCAAGAGACATATAACAGTAATGAGGATAAAAACACTTTTATAGTGAGTTGTTGATCCACTTCAACATTGTCTTTTCCTTCAGTTTGCCACTAATTTCAGTATGTGCCTTTCAATTTCCCCAGCTGTAAAATAGATAGGTTTTGAAAATTAAGTATTATTTAAATCTGTTTTCCCTTCAGTAGGGTGACTTAAAAGTCTTTCTTGCAAGGACTGCAAGTGCTTCAGTAAGGAAAGGCTACTTGTACAGTGATGTTGTCTTGCATGGTCTAAGTTTACTTTTTTGTTTTTTACTTTAAAAACTTTGTAGAAACAAAGCTTTTCGTATCACTTAAAGTTCATGCCCACATCTTGGCAGCATTTCTGTTTAAAACTTTGGTTAATATTATATGCAGGAAAAAAAGACAAGGTTCAGGCTTGAATTTATAGTTCTTGCATTCTTTTCACAGTAGCAATACTCAACTTTTGCATTTGTTCAACTCACATAAGAATCTTTAACTGATTTGTAATCAACAATTAGTGCACAGGTCTATTTTGTTAGACCCAGCACTGTGCTGAAACAACTGCTATTTTTACCTTTTGGAATTTGTGACTACAGAGTCAAGGCTTATTAAGGAGACTGCAGAAAGGTTATGTTTTTTCAACTCAAAAAAGAAATCAGAAATTTAAAGCCAAATGAAATATTTACTATCAGTTTTAACCTTAATGCTGGAGCTCTTGTACTGCAGATTATCAGTATGGTACTGTTGCCCAAACCTGCGATCAAAGGACTGCTATAGGTTTGGCTCGATCCAAAGATATCGACCTTCGCTTTTTCCTGCCTCCACCATCACTGCCAAAAATGAAAAATGTAAGTAAATGGAAAGAAGATACCAGCTGATTTTTGCTTACTTTAGTGACCATACTAAAATAGAATTCTTCAAATGTAAAGAGTGAGTACTAAAATGAAAACCAAAACATCAACTGTAATGTACCTCTGGAGTGTCTGTACTAGTGAATTATGTGATGCAAAGAGCTGAAGATAGGAGTTTGATTATTGTGTTTTGACTGTATGTCCAAATTACACAATGTAATTTGTACAAGTCACAGTGTGTATATGGAAATATTAGGAAAAGGCCACTAAAGCATGAAGCTTAAAGCTTACTTTTCATCACTCAGGTGGCTGGTTTTAGTATTAATCACTCCCGGAGTTTTTACAAGAGTAACTACTAAACCCAAATTGCAAAGCACTGAAGTTTTGGCTTTACTAATGTAGCTTCTTTAATTATTTAAGATCTTAATTTTCTTCCATATTGTGTTTTGTTTCAGAATTTAAAAAAGTAGAATTAAAAACTGTGTTTACTTCTCACAGGATTATCTCATAGAAGATGAGCTTCGCTTGCTCTTAGTTTCTTTACCTCAGTCTGGCCTTGATCCGTGTGTCCAGTACTTCACATCTCTTGCTTTACGTGAAAGTAGTCAGACTCTTGCTGCACAGAGGGTGAGTTCCCACTGACAGACTGGAACTATTTGGTTTCTTTATTCAGAGGCTCACTCAAAGATACAAACCTATTTCTATATTTTTCAGCTTTATAAGTGGAAAAAAATGCAGTCTTTGTTACATTACAACTTAGTATAAGCTCTTCTACATACAGACCACATGCTTGAGAGCTTCTTTATCTTTCTTAACTGTACTAGTTGGTTTAGCAAGAGATACCTGCTTTGTGGGAAGGCTTGTAAATAAAGACGTATCTTTTCTCTCACAGTCTTCATAAAGAGATTTTTCACATTTCATCTGCTGAGATTACTAAACCTTGACATCTTACTATCAAACTAATTGCAGCCTATGGTCATGAACTGTTTATTACATGGAAATACATTCCTGTAACATGTCACTGTTGCCAAAACTTAAGTCAATTGATTTTTGTAATCAGTGACTCTTACTTTTGAAAGTTATAATAAAAAAAAAAAAAGTGCTGTCATAATGTTGCTTATCAGGGTTTATTTAGAGATTTCAGAGTTCAGTAACTCTTTATTCCCTAAGACACAAAGAAGTGTAATATTTTCACATGGGGATTCCATTGTTCACACAACAAGAGGTCTTGCTACAGAAAGAGCACTTGTAAGACGACTCTTGGAAACATTTTGACTAATTGCACTGTCCTAGAAAATTATTTTTGCTGGTCTTCCTGCTGTATGATAGAGACAGACTGACCTCTTAGCACTATGCTAAGTGTCAAATACCTTATTTTCTCTTCTCCCCCTTTTTTTTTTCTTTTTTTTTTCCCCTCCCTCCCAACTCTGGAAGTCTAGATTATGGCTGATTCTTGCTTCCTTATCCTCAAGGAAACAATTTTAAAAGATTACATTAACTAACATAAGAACCCTGCATTTTTCCCCTTTATTGTGTGTTTTGAAGTTAATAGACTATGGAAGCTTCTGTCTGAAAATTTGTTTAATAAAAAATAGTAGGCCATTTTATAGTGTGCTGCTATATAATTTATACACTTAAATTCATACATGCTGAGCACTCTTTAAAGAGATCTCTATAGATCATTACACACGTAGCATTCTAGTTTAGAAATGCTTATTTTATGTAGCTATTTGGAACATGGTATCATTTTGACTGTTTCTCCTTTCAGGGAGGCTTATGGTGTTTTGGGGGAAATGGACTTCCATACTGTGAGACTTTGGGTAAAGTTCCTTCAGAGACAGTAGAACTCTTTTGCTTGCAAGCTTTAGTGCAACATTCTAAGGTAACTGCCTGTTTTAAACTACAACTGAAAAACAACATTTATAAATACTCTTTTCTAAGGCGGTCATATGTTGGGACTGAGTTGCCATTTTCTTGTCTCCTAGCTGCTATCCCTTTTGCAAGAGCTTTCAGAGAGCTGAGACTGATGTGAATCATAAGGAAACATAACAAACTCATTTTTCTGATATCAAGTGCCTCTGTAACAATCAGAAAGCTAAACAGGTGGAATTGTGGTACAAGAAGTGTAACAACAAAGGGACTAGCGCAATGGAAAGATGTTACAAAGGAAAAGAAAAAGTGCTCACCTGTCTCTGAAGAGCTGGGCTCTACAAGGAAGGGATTTGTAACCAGAAATCCTTCCACAATGGCAGTCAGCCCTTAAATGAGGTCTAAGAGGGGTGCAGCCAGGCTCCACCCCTTCACACAGCTGAATTGCCTTCATCTGTGCTCTCAGGGCTGAGTGGGTCCTTTCCCCAGGTGCTCAATCAGTGGTTCAGGCTGTGTCTCAACAGTTACCATACAGCCTCTAAGTTCTGTTATTATTACTAATTAGCCTGTGAAAGTTCTTTAATTTCTCAGAAGTCTTGAACATTGAAAGATAGTATTGAGCATACTAAATTGTTATTTGTAGTAGGGATGGATAAAGTGTAGTTTGCTAGTATTCCTTTCACAACTTCCATATGCATAGAAATTCTCACGTAGTAAGGATTTTCTACGTTCTAGATTTTCCATTCAATCAAGTTGTGACTGTACTCACACAGAATGCCTCTGTCTCTGCTGAAAGCTTCATACCTGAGGACATAGCAATTTCATGACCACAGTACATTTTTAAGCACTGTAAACACGTTCAAGTCACAAGCATTTGGTCGCTATTGGTGTTGACACTACTACTGATCTGTCTGTGTTCATCTTCTTGAACTAGAATCTATTGTTGCCCTTTAGATCAGTAAAAATAGTGATGTTATTAGAAGAGTAAAAATGTCTGTATATTTCGAAGAGGAGGTATGCTAGCAATTTCACTTTAGCTGATAGGCAATAAGAGGCTTCAATTGGCAGTGCTTGAACAAGTGCAGGCAGCTGTCCTGTTTAGACTCTTGAATGTCACTTGTAAGTTGGTCATGCCAAATGGATATCAATGTCATTTTCCTCTGATGTGAAGGAGAGTATAGTGATGATTCTCAGCATCTTTCAGGTTGTCAATTCATAGATATCATGCACTCAACACATTAAAATATTTCCTTCATCTTGGAATAGGGAATAATAAATACTAAATGAATAAGAACTCTTATGTAATAAGGGCCGTATCATATCAGCTCAGGAAACTACTTTCTGTATTAACAGCATCACCAAGAAGCTTTTGCAGAACATCTATTTATTGTCATTGTACTGTATGATGCTAGGTTTCATCTCACTGTGATAAAATTGAAGCTCAGGGCGGCCTTCAGCTGCTGCAGAGGATATACCAGCTCCGTAAGGATTCTGCAAAAATACAGAGAAACATAATCCGCATTATTGGAAATATGGCTTTGGATGAACGTCTTCATTCATCCATAGTACGTGCAGGTAAAAGGAAAGCAAGTGCAAGCAGCCTGAATGCCAGACTGCCAGTTCTATATTCTAAATTTTTCACTGGATTCAGTGCTATTGTAAAATGTAAGGGACTGTGGTAGTGCTCTGTTTTTTATATGTGTGTTTTGTATGCATGTATATGTTTTTTTTTCTTGTTTTTTTTTTTTTTTTGTTAGTTTGTGCCTTTTTGTTGTTGTTGTTGTTAAATAAAACATAAATAGTTTAGACAGCTTTGGTTTAAAAACTTACATGCGTTGTCTAGCTGATGTGTGTCAGAGCTAGAGGCACTGAAAGTCTTTGAAGGATGGTGAAAATTGGGACTTCTGATATTTAGTTCGAATTACTGACTTCTGAATTTCCTACTCTCACAGACCATCTGCATTATTGATCTTTTTTTTTCCAATTTACTGTGTTTTAGTCTCATGAAGGAACTTTGTGTCTTTATGTTTTGGAATAAAATAAAATATGCCTTCCCACTCTCCCTTGCTTTGTGTCAAGCTAGTAACTAAGAACAAAGAAAAGTGGTAGGAGGCAGAGATGAACTCACACAGCTTCTGGTACCCGTGGGTGCCCTCACATCCTGCTGTTCATGCTGCTTATGCATCAGATCCTCACAGCTGCTCCAGTCTGCAGGCCAACCCTTACCCAGTTAGCTCTTGCTGGGGAAGTTTTCCACCAGATCTTTAACAGCGCTTCAGTCCACTCTGCCAGCAAGTTTAATTTGAGAAATTTTTCTTCATGAATTTTTTTGTCAAATTTTCACACGTTTCCCATTTGTTCTTGTATGTATGTATGCTCTGAATATTCAGTTGTTTCTTATCTGCTTTTGGATTTTAAAGATTTTTCCTCATTCATCACAGATCCTTACAATCATTCTGACTCAAGTTTTCTCTAAAAGTATTTAAATGTTTGTTGTGTGTGTGTGTGTGTGTGTATGTATGTATGTACGTGTATGTGTATGTGTGTGTGTGTGTATTCCTTTGCATGTCTTGCATGTCTCAGTACTTTGTGAGCAGCCTCATCCATGTCTAAGAAACAGTAAGTTTCATTTTTAGGTAAGAGTCTGTAAAGTGTTTATTTTTTCTTGAGGTAGCTATGACTTAAGTTGAGGAATGTGTTCTGTCAGCTATTCTTTTATGTTTCTCAAGTATAAACAGAATTGTTTGGTTTTTGTTTTGTTCTGGAATAGCGGGAGAATTTTAATTACATAAATGTTTTTGCACTCTGGAATTTAAAATTAGAAGTTGTTCTTCAGAGCAATCACCAATTTTTCTGCCTGCCATTATTCCTGTGTGCTGTTCCCTTTCTTTCCTGTGCTTTGAGTTTCATTTTCTCTCTGGAACATTCCTTATCACTGTATTTTTTGCATCTTGGCTGCAGAAAGAGAATCAAGATGTGTTCTCTGTCCAACTGCTGCTCTGATCTGCTGATACACTTTGTTTTCCTTCTGGGAAGGGGTTCTGCTTCACGTTACAATCTGAATAGCAGTAATTCAACATTTCCTCCGCACCACTCTGAATTTTTTTTAATTTTGCCATTTCCACTTATCCAGCAGTGGCTTTCCTGCAGTAAAGAGAAGTGGGTTGAAGTAATTTGTTTTGATATTGCCTTTCTTACATTTTAATGCCCATTTTCACAATTACTGCTGTGAAGGATGATGTTTGTGAATTTTCTTGTTGGGATGATGTTTCTGACTCTTTATTTTTTCAACGTAGGTTGGGTTTCTGTACTTGCTGAAGTAATGAAATCCCCGCATGTCATTCAGTCTTCTCATGCATCCAGAGCTTTGGCTAACCTAGACAGGGACACAGTGCAAGAAAAGTATCCAGATGGTGTTTATGTCTTACATCCACAATATCGTAGCAGGTAATGCAGAAAGAGAAACTGTGCATGCTGTAATTCGAGTTATTTTCTATAACTTTCAGTTACAAAAATTCAGAAGAATGGATTCAGAGTGCAGCTCTACTTTTGTTACCTGCTCCTCTGGTTCCTGATGGATTGACTGGACTGAATGTAGCTCCTCTAATGTGAGAACAGCAGGAGTGCTCGGAGCTGTCCGTAGCAATGAAAAGAGTGTTCCTGTATTGCTTGGAAAATGCAAACCATTACATGAATTATGGTTTTGCAGCCTTTGTACTGGTGTGTCTTGGGATATGATGCCTAGCAGTTATTCTGCTGATAGCAGCCCATTGTCCTCAGCTGCAGTGAAAGAAGCTGAGGCTTCTTTTTTTCTTTTCCAAGAACATTTATCTGGGAGTGAAGCAGTCTCCAACATGGTATGTCACTTAGCAGCAACTATCCTTGGGGCCATTTGTGTTAGTGGAGATGGTGGAATCAGACAGTAAAGGTCTCACCAAGCTGCATTAATAGTAGGGGGAAAGAATATTGTTTTCCATTATGGAAGAATACGAGACAAGAGTTTGGTACTTTACATACTTCTGTCTAGGTCTCTCTTATGGGCGAATCTGTGTTTTTCATCTTGATCTGAGTATCCTCTGTGAAATATCATGCAACGTCATGGCATTTTGTCCAAAATACAAGAAACCATGTACAGTGTTCAAAATAGCATTTTGATATCACCTAGATTAAGAGTTCTGTCTAAATTTAATTTGCTGAAAGAATATCTGTCATCTGTCTTCTACAAATTCCTTTCTATGTCAGTCAGCCCATCAGAGCAGACATCCTTTTTGTTCATGGTCTTCTGGGAGCAGCATTTAAAACCTGGAGACAGCAAGACATTGACCAACCTGTGGATAAAAAGGCTTCAGAAGTGCAGGAGGAATACAGCCAGTGCTGGCCAAAGGTAAAAAGACGGTACCATTTTCTTGAACAGTTGCTGTTTTTTTGTTAATGAGAGCTGTCTAGAGAATTGGATGACTTCTAATCTGTTTTAGGAGTAGCATATTTTGTGTTCTTCACATGGTTTTTGTTAGCAAAATGAAATTTTCAACAGGTTATGCTTGCAAAGGAAAATCTCTGCTAAAGTTAACGCACTCAGTGTCATTCTTCTGGTAGTGAAAGAGGAGGCAATGTACACTGTCCTTATGCTCTCATTCTTTTAAAGGAAATTCTACAGCTTAGAAAAAGATAACTGAAAACGTGAAATCACATTTTTAATTTCTTATATGAATGTCTGAGTACCTGAGTACCTGAGTACTTTTTCCAGTTTGCCTTATAAAAATTATTGGTAAATAAGTAATGACTGCTTCAAGCAGCTCACATTGATGTAAACACCAAAGTATATCTACAAAATTTCAACTCATCAGTCCCATTGGTCACATCAGTAACTGTTGTTCCACCCAGGAGAGGGAGCCAGGAATGCACAAATCAGTAATCCATTCCAGCCTTTGCCTTCGTTTTGATCAGGAAGTTGTCAAGAGTTTGACAGTCTTTAATAACAAAAAAATAACAGTGCAGGTGTAAGATGTATTCGAGGATTCATGAAGAACAAAAATTGTACTTGATACTCTCTTCATAGTAACAGCTTTGCTCCATTGTTGCTAAAGTGTTTGTAAGAGTTTTCCAAGTACTTCAGTAATAAGCTCTTTTTGGTGGTTTTCTTTATTTAGACATGGCTGGCTTCAGATTGTCCTGCCCTTAGAATCATATCTGTGGAATATGACACCCGTTTGAGTGACTGGAAAGCAAAATGTCCTGTTGAGCCTCACAGGTAACAAATGCATGTCTGCAGTTTGGAGGATGACCTATACAGCTAATTATTTGAATCACTTACAGTGAAACAATTAACTTTTCTTGTTGTATTTGAAAATAAAATTTAGAAAAATCTTGGCTAAAGTCATGGTTTACCCAAGCTTTATATCCTCATGGGTTAACTCAAATTCTTAATTTCTTGTAGACTGCTTCATGTGTATTCATTGTCTTCAGCATCTTCAGGCACTACAGTAGTCTATTGATTCAGATATAACATTAGTTTTGCTTCTTCAGGGGAGTATTTATTAAGCTTAAAATGGCCCAACAGTACTTTGTAAATACAACAAAAGACTTGCTGATATTCGCGGGAAAACAAAGCTTATAGTTCTATTCAGAAGTATTAATCCCTGCGAAGAGATTGCCATTTGTCTTTGGTAGATGAGCTACAGAAACTTCTTTAAGATTTAGACTTTCACAATATATTATGAAGCTAACAAGTGAAGAGGTTTTAGGCACAAATTAAGAATTAATAAATTGTCTCCAGCCCACACTGTTTTTTGGTCAAATATTGTAATAAAACCACTGCTCTTGTCAGAGGAGCAGTGCTTTAGTGAGCCTGAGCCAGCTAGATCAGAAGAAGACACCTCCTCCAAAAATGTTGTTTCTAAAACATAAAAAAGGCTTAGATGACTTGGTTTGAATGGATTTTAGACTCATCAATTGACTTCAGTGCTCTTTGAATCTGATTGTAATCCAAGTCCTCCCATTCATTATACACATAGGCATGTAACTAGATTCAACTTCTATACTTCCACAAAGGCACGTGCATGACTGCTGACAGGTTAAGAATCTGAAAAATTATGTTTTGAGTAGGGGACAAAATTTGTATAAAAGATTGAGAGCTTGGCACTTGCTCATTTTTCCTCCCTATAGACATACAAAGAAATGATGCAATTATTGCATTAAAGAAAGCATGCAATTGGGGCAAGATAAGGAAGATGTGACTGACAGTATCTCTATTCTATTCTGTTCTATTCTGAAAGTTAGTCAGAACAGTGACAGTAATGAATGTGTAGATAGGTACCTCTATGAGAGACCCTTTTCCCCACATCCATCTCGAGTATGTATAAAGAAAGCAAATTCAAAAAATAAATAAATACATATGCATTTATTTTAAGATAACGTGTTTTTCATCACAGAATGGAAAACTGCATTACCTGCAATATGTGCTCACCCATGCATATAGTGTATGATTATTTTATAGTTTGTTGTGCTTAATCAAAAGCGAAAGACATTTGAAGATATTTTAACTAGCAGCAACAGAAGTGTAGCTGGACGCTCACATCCTTATCACTGCTGTAAGAGTATAGGCTCATCTAGGGTTTCAGAAGGGAGTTAAGTCCCTCAGCAATCTTAAAGCATATTGCTCAGATGAAAAGACAGGTCTGAGTATCCTTTTCATCTGTATTATCTGAAAGCTGTTTCTAGTGATAATGCTTAGACCCAACAGAGATGAAGTGAATTAGGCTTTGCACAGTGGTTGCCCCAATATCCTGAGGTTTCGTTATCGAAGAGTCTTCTGTGATTCCTATTGTGCCACAAGGAGTAATGATTTCACTCCTTCAAGCTTAGTCTGGGAATTGGGATCAGTTTTGGTTTGATTCTACCACAGATTCATTTGTAGCCTTTGACATGTAGCCTATCCTTTCCAGAATTTGACCTCTTCATTCTTCAAATCGAAATCGAAATCATTATGTTTTTATACTACTTTAATACCAAGCATTTGGAAATTATTATTTGAAAAATTATAACTGATGTAATTTGTGATTTAATTTTTTTTTTTTAATACATTGGATGGTAATGCACTTATTCATTTCCTGAACAACTTTGCTTTACAACTTGAGCACTGTTTAGCAAAGTACATTTTTGTCAGGTATTTACATATGTTCTTGTTTCAGGGCATAAAGTTTATTATGCATTGATGGTGCTTTGGTAAAATGAAAATATAATTTTGTAAACATGTGAAAATGGTTTCATTTAAAAGATAGGATTTGCAGAACTAAAACTAAGGGCAGTAACTGATAAGTGAAATTAAAATAGCAATTTCTAGCAAGACCAACAAACTGAACTCATTTCAATTGCTATTGTCTTTGTGAAGCTGACCTTAAAACGTTCTTGACGTCTTTAGTTTTCAGTCTAGCAACAACAATTAAGTAATCAATGTTTTATTTACTGAATTCACTTTCATAAAACTGCAGCGCTGAATGTTTATTCCCTTTAAGACTGGTATTCAGCTTACCATGTTCCTTTGTGCTTGTGTTTGTTTATTCATTACAGGACATCTATTGCTTACAGGAGCAACGAGCTTCTGGAGAAGCTCAGAGCTGCTGGGATTGGAGAGAGACCCGTGGTGTGGGTGTCACACAGCATGGGCGGTGAGCGCAGTGCCTGTCTGGCAGAATGCTTTGATTTATCTGCTGTTACGTTTCAGAACGAGACTGGAACCAAATTCAGTTTGAAAGGCGGTTGTTCTGAATGGTCTGTGTACAACACTTGCAAAGATCTGAAAATGTAAAATAGATTTCTGTTTTCCTGGTGTGTTGTTTGCAGTAGCACACGCATTTTGAATGGATTTTTATTCCTGTTTGTTTGTACCGTGTTGATTCAGAAACACAAAATCAATGAATTGAAATTCATGCAAGTGGAAATTCAGAGGCAGAGTTTTCTCCATCATCTGGCATATGTTAGATGTCATTAGCAACACTAAAACCAAATTAAAAAGTCTATAGACTTGGACTTATGCTGTTCAATTAACATTTTATTTTAATGCCTCAGTTGTTTTTTCCAACTTGATCTGACGTATTCGACACGCTAAGGATTAAACAAATGAGACAAGAATATGGTTAGTTGCTTTGTGGCTAATATAGCACCATCATTATTTTCACAGTGGTTTAAATCGGTGCATTAATTCAGTTTCTCTTGCCAGGTCTTCTAGTGAAAAAGATGCTGGTGGATGCTTCCAAGAATCCAGAAATGGGTAAAATTGTAAACAACACAAGAGGAATCATATTTTATAGTGTACCTCACCATGGCTCCCAGCTGGCTGAATATTCCATAAATGCCAGATATCTTCTCTTTCCTTCTGTGGAAGTTAAAGAACTCAGCAAGGGTATGTCACACTTTGCTACCATGTAACAGTAGAGATCTCTGCTAATCTGTTCATGATGCTTTCTTTCCTTTTTTTTTTTTTATTTTTTTAAATCACGCTATCAGAAAAAGCTGGATAAGAACTACAGCTGCCCTTCTTATGCTTAGTGTTGTAGCTTGAACTGTCAAGAGTAACTTTTCTATTTGATTACAGACATGGAGGGGGGAAAGAGAATCAGAACAAATTTATAGAGGAGTAGTGTAGGTCATTTAGCAAAGTAATGTGTGCTGGACTTCAGATTTTTGTCTTCTGTATAAATTCCGTGTTACGCAGAAAGAAATGTTACATATGATTGCTGGGAAAAGGAATTACAAGCAGAACGCTACTCCTTTTTACTGGAGTTCTTAATTTTTCCAAAGCACTTTATTGGGACTGTAGTTTTGCAGACACAAGTTCTAATTTTCTGTTCAAGATAAAGCTGCAAAAATAACATTACCCTTTCACAGATTCTCCTGCCCTTAAGGTGCTGAATGATGACTTCCTGTCTGTTGCCAAAGATAAGAAATTTCCAGTGCTGAGTTTTGCAGAAACCTTGCCAACGCATATAGGCAGCATGTTGAAACTGCATGTTGTACCTCTGGAGTCAGCAAGTAAGTCAAATAGTCACTTAAGTTTCTTTAATTTTATATATATTCCTGTAGGCATTGATAATGGGGATTCGGTGGTAGGAAGACCTTGGAAAAAACATCTGTTGTGTTTGGAGCCTTTGTTTAAGCTTTTGGCTGTTTAAACTTAACTACAGTCTGCCTGCTGAGATGGGAGGCAGCTGTGTTTGTAGTTTATGATAGCAGCTTAGTTTTGAGTTTTCCAGATGCCAACAATACTTATTGAAAAAATGCTGACTAGGCACATGGCTGATGTTACATTGTAACAGTCATTTCCTTTCTAATAATGAGCAACTGATTGTCTTTGTATGGCTAGGCCAAATAGTGTTTCAGAGTCTCCTGCAAATTCCAGCTATGTTATCCTTTAGAAAATAAGAAAAAAAATTAATAAACTGCTAATAGGAATTCTTACTAAAGATAGTAGAACTCTGGACCAAATGGTTTACCAGCATGGGTTTTGGAGCAATGTTTAGCCAATCAGACTATTAACAGCAGGTATTGATGCTTTTAGCACATTAAAAAATCACCAAGCCAAAGCAGTTAAAGGGCAGATGGGGAATTGCTTTTGAGAGAGCAATTGCTAATGCAGGATGCGCTTTTCAGTCCAGCTAATCTTACAAACTGTGATCATTATTTCTTCTTTTTTCTCTCTCCCAGAGTTAGGTATTGGAGAACTTATTCCAGTGGATGTAAATCATCTTAATATTTGTAAGCCAAAGAAGAAGGATGCTTTCCTGTACCAGCGTACACTGAAGTTCATTCAGGATGTTTTAGCCACTGACCTTGGGGAATGAGGTTTCTGCCATCCTTGTCTACTTCTATGTAGTGTAACACAGTAAGTTCTCCTAACAGTTGTTAGAGGATCTGCAAAACTGCAAAGATACGATATATGTCGATAGTATCTACTGCTAAAACAATTTTTGGTACATCTTGAACTTAAGAGACATCACTAACTTACTTCTGAAATCTCTTCAAAACAAATACAAACTGAAACAAACTCATACAAACTTGGCAAAAAGAAAATGGGTGTTGGCTTAGAGTAAGCATGGTCTGTTGGCAAACCGTGTGCAGATTCTCCAGCGATCTGGCTGAGAATGGATGAAGATGTCCTTCTGGAGTAACTCAGATGATGTATGGAGGGTGCCCAGTGCATCTCCTTTTAGCCAAGAAAGGTTGCTCTGAAGTTAGGTGGTCTCAGTAATGTCCATATGCATCTGGGACTTTAAGTCTCATGGTTTGCGTGAGAAACAATTGAGATGGTTATTTGTTATGTCAAAGGTGGAAAGAAGCATGTGGTTGCCTTAAAGCTTTGGTTTACTCTCCATGTTTAGTATGTCAGAAGTCTCAGAAAATTCATGTGTGTGAAGGTAGCATTTTAGTTAGCGGCCCAATTAAGACATTTTTGTAATTTGTCTTTTTGTTTAATAGACTTACCCAGATTTGTTAGCAAAGACAGCATCTGTTTTCTGTCTGAGAAAGAGATAAAAGCTTTACTGATTCCTGGAGGTTGTCTTGCATAAACAGCTGTAGTTGATTTAATCCATTTGTATAAGTGAGAAGAAAAAAAATTAGAAAAAAACCACAAATGTTTACATTCTTGTACATTTCTCTTTTAATCTTAATGACTTTTGAGATTACTTTCTGTAAGATAGCATGTATCCAGTCAGATTGAGGGCAGTTCTGTGCTTGGTCATTTGGAACGGAGGCCAGGATGTTTTTCTTTAATGGCTCATGGGATGCACTGAATAGGTGTCCCCAGCTCACATTACTCATTTAGAAGATCTTCAGCTGATTTAAGAAGGGCACTGAAAATGCTCTCGTGGGGTAAGACAGCTGCAGACCCCAACAAGGAAGCTGATGCTTGGAGTTTGGAGCTCAGGTTGAGGGAAAATTTAAACAGGAAATAAAAATTGAGTGATTATATGATCCCAGTTGAAAGGCAGAGAGTCCCAGGGTGCTCACGTGTATTTACTGGTGTAGATACAGAGCAAGACAAAAGCATTGTCTTATTTGAACTTGTTCACGTTAAGGATACCTTAACAGCACTGATGAGAAATAATTATTTTTAGAAAAAAAATGGCAGCACTCAGTCACTTTCTTAAATCCTAGGTAGTTTACAATATAGTAAGAGAAGCCCAGTGGAAGAGCCATTTCTTTCCTACCTTCCTTTCACTCCCAGCTCTTTCTGAAGACAAACAGGATATGATTAGGCTGTGTTCCTGTGGCTGACTGTTAAGTAAGGCCTGATGACATGCAGAGGATGTCTCTTAGCATCACTTGCATGATAAGGATCTAATCTTACCAGCCTTAGAATAATGGCTCTAAAAGCTACCAGAGAGATGTGGTGCAGTCCTTTATGGGCTTGGTGCAGGTGTCAGAGGCCACTGCTGTCCTGCCGGGTTCTGAGGCAGCTGTTTTTATTACAGAGCTCTCTGGCCCAGGAGAACACAATGGCTACAAACACATTTTTTGGAAGTTGATTCTTGCTGAAGTTGCATGGTAACATTCACAACCCACAACAGTACAGAGAATGTGCAGCACTACACTCACAGAAGAGCATTTTTTCCCCATAATCAAGATACTGGAAAGAACACTGGATGGCAGTATTTCAGGTAGAAAATGTAACAGAATTGTCATAACTTCTGAAGAGGTTTACCCCGTTTAAACTCTGGTTTAAACTTTAAAGTGTAAATATTAGAACACTTTGTACTCACGAAGTTGAGAGTATGTCAATCCCATTGCCAGTAGATGATTTCTAATAACTGACTCTGCTTGGTGTGACAAACCTTGTAGTAATCTTAATGGACTTCTTTGGCTTAAAGGGATTCAGATCACTGATGTTACACATTAATTTTGTTCAGTAATGCATCTGTGCTTTGGTACTGTAACTGGAACTGTCAAGACAACTTTCTCTTTTTTGTTATTACATATATATATGTGAAACTTCTAAAACTAATACTTTCAGTTGTGCTTTTTTGGGAATAGTTACAAAATGTGTTTTTAAAAATGCACTAAATACACCACAATATATATTAAAGCTGATTGATTGTAAAAAGAATGCCCTGGTTCATGCTCGTATTTATTGAAGACCTGTTCCTTAGAGACGGTCTCATGCTGGAAGAAAGTAACGTTTATCCTTCATCTAAGGTAGAAGGCATAGAAGTGGGGTCACAGCTGGTCATTGTGGTTTTGCCAGACTGGGGAATTTTTTCGGTTGTGCTTCTAGGTTTTGCAAAAGGGCTGCTTGAGCCATATAGACATTGGTTCTAGACCCAGAGGGCAAATGGGGTGGCATTTGGCATTCTTGTCTGCTTCCCATTAGAAACTTAAGTTCTTATGCTTCCCTAGCGTCACATTAATTCCAAAGAGTGTTTTTGTATAAATTCATAGGATTCAAACTGTGCCCTTAATCCCATCCCAGCTGGAAACCCAGCAGCAGATGTGGCCAGGGCTGTGAATGCTGGTGGTTCGTCTGCATGGTGGGATGCAAGCGGTAAGATGGGAAGGCAGTGTTCATAAGGAGTGGGTCAGTCTTTGCTCTTGGGGCTGTGCAGCACTCTAGTAGTGATGTTTATCTAGTAGTAATTTTTCTGGTAGTAATCAAGTTCTGATTGCTATTTTCACACTTGTGCAAGGAGGGTTTCTTTTCTCTGTGGTTTGTGTTCTGTGGTGCTGGGCAATATAGCTGGCCAGGAAAGAAGAAGTTTTCACTCCAGTTAAACTATCAGTTTTAGACAATTTTATGAGTGAAAATTCCAGTAAATATTTTAGGTTTTTTGGTTCTCTTTATCTTTCAGTTATGTTCTGCCTAAAAAGCTCATGAGGCTAAAAGGAGAAATCAAACAGCCTTCCAGACAGGCTGCTGGTTAAATACATTGGTTTTTTTCTGTTTTTCCTGAAGGAAGGTTGTGAAATACATGCCATTGCTACCCCGGTGGAAATAGCACTGGTGTAGTGTGGTGTGAGCAGGAGGCTGAAGAAAACATCTCTCAATAGCAAAAAAGAAAAGATAGCAGTTGCAACATTGGGTTCCTCTGCTCACCTTGTTGGGAGGGCAGGCTTAGGCGAGGTTTAGAGGGAAGAATCCTCACCTCCTGCAGTGTTCTGTGATGGTTTCACAAATGCAGAGCGAGTCTGGCCCTGCTTAGCTTGTCCTGACCATTAAAACTAGAATGCAGGTCATGAACACCTGCCTCTGAAAAGCACTTGGCACTGGGCACAGGCAGGAAGGATAACATCTCAAGGCAGCACGTTGCTCCCTCTGTGCTGCTGCTGTTTCAGCTGGGATGTTTCCTTCTTTCTGCTGAGGTGCTGTGACTGACAGGGATGTGCTGTTGCTGACAGCACCAACCAGTTAGCTACAGGGACTCTTTTAATGGGCAGCTTGCCACAGATGCAGCCATCACTTAGAATGCTAGAGGCCACATACTTGTGTTCAGCGAGAGTAATAAAGTAGGTTTTATTTGACTTGTATAAATCTACTTTAATGGGCGTTCTTGCTACCACTTACTTTCATTACCATTTAAATTAGCTGTCCTAGAGCTGTTAATTATCTTTGCAGGTGGATATGGCCATATAACATACTTTCTTTTTTACTGCTCTTGATGTTTTGTACTGATACGTGTCCATAAATAATCGCTGCATTTTTGAGGAGTCCGAGACTCTGTGTGAGGAACGGACCAGCTGCTTCTTCCTGCTTCACCAACCTGCTCCCAAGGTAAACCGACACTTCTACAAGAAGCTCAACTCAAGGTTTCACGCATTTGTCTTTCAAGTTTTTGGGGATTTTTTTGGTTTGAAGTGTCTGGCAAATGAGGGAGCAGAGGAGGAGGGTGCACAGAGAAAGGCAGGAGCCTCTTACCGGGTGCCTTGTGAGCACTCTTGTGCTCGTGGCAGCGAGGCACGGAACACATGGCAGTGAAGTCGGAAGGCTGCTGAATTGCGGTTTCCAAGCAGCTGAGAACAAGTCAGTCAGAAAATCTTCCTGTAGGAAGAAGGAAAAATAAATAGTCAAGATCTTTTGTTATTAAATCAACAAGTTACTATGACAAGATGGCAAACAAATGGCATCTGTGCTGCACAGCGGTACTACGCGGGCCAGGTGAGATCCTGTACAGTTGCAGCCGAGCACCATGGATATCCTACTGAAATCATGGCCTTCTGAGAAGCGTGACTGCTGGCTTGCTGATAAACGGGTAATGGCTCCATGAAGAAGATCATGCCTGCTCTGAGCTGAGCAGCACCTCTGCATGAGCTCACCAGAGTAAGTGACAGATAAACTCACCTGAAACATGGGCCCAGCAGACTGACGGAAAATGCCAGGGAGGAGCAGAGCAGGCACACAGGAATGCTTGCTTGGAATTTCTGAAGTTGTGACTGGGGTGATGCTTCCCCTGCTAGATTATCATGTTCTGAACCACAAAACATGATCTTCTTCTCTTTTAAACCTTTTGCTTGCAAGAACCTACACTGAACAGATTATTGTGTACAGCCTCACAGTGTGTGCTGAGACTGCCTCCTAGGGACACTCCCTGTATAGATGCATGGTGCACCTAAACAGCAGGCTTATGCATGCTTCTTAGAATTCTCTAGTCTTTGATGCAGCTGCCTGCATCCTATCCCTAGAAGCACACCAGGTAGCTCCAAGCTGAGCTCCCTATTGGGCTGCGTGAGAGCCTTAATCTCTAGAGGATGATTCTGCTATCCCCAGTTGTGTATCTTGTGGCTTAGCTTCAGGGTCTGACAGCCTGAGTTGCACTGGAATAAAGTTGTTAGGCTCCAAGAGCAGCATGTTCCAAAAGAACTGTCCTTGTCCATATGCTATTTTAGTGCAAAGTACGTGTGTTGTTTAGGGTAGGCTTGCTGAGAACAAAGAACAGGATGGTGTTTTGGAAAAGTGGAAGAAAACTACAAAAGGTGCCATTAGTCTCCCTACAGGCAGAGCAATATTTTGAGAGGCTACCAGATATTTTCAGAATAGCTGAGGCATGTTCTTAAGCCATTAAAAGAACTGCACTCAGAAGAGACCTGTTCTGATATGGCGGGAGGGGAGCAGTCATTGTCCTGAGCTGGAGCAAAACCAGGTCCTTCTTGCTGCTGTTCAGGCAACACTGCTCATGCTTCTGCTTCCCAGCCTCAGAAACCACACCTTGTATTTTACTTTCTATGCAGAAATGAGTTTAACAAGGAAAGCACTGTGGTCTGCCAGGACTGCAGCTATCTCTATGCAGATAATGCCTAAGCCTTGTTTCCACGGTGGAAACTTACTGGCAGAATAATACCAGCATTACTGCTGTAGTTACACTGATATGTGTTCCTCCTGGGGATATCTGTTCCAGAATAACTATAGCAGTCTATTCAAGGTAAGGCTTCTTTATTTTAGGTGACAGAAATAGGTTAATATATACATGTCAAATGAAAATGTTTTTATTAGCTTTTTTTTTCCCATACATGTTCTTGCATATGATTTCTAACTGAAATAAAATATCTTCGGGTGGATTAATAAAAAGAAATAACTTAGAATAAAGAACTTCTCAAACAAACTGGATAACATTAGATTGCATATACTCTGTACACCTCCCTCCAGGGGCAGTTTCTTTGTCTTTAAACAAAATGAAAATGAAATGTAGCATGGACAGATGATGTATCTCCTTAAATAAAAACTTTTATGCAAACTTTTGCATTCTTACTAGTACTTCTACAGGAACATCGAGGGGATGAGTTCTACAATTCTAAATTATTATTGGTATTCTCCAAGCTGTTTTTGTTTTGTTCTAGGTCAAGCAGTTTGTTGAACCCTTCTGACAGTGCACCACTGTCTTCATCATCACTGAATGTCACCCAGTGACTGGGGAGTTTCAAGTTTTCTGGACTGTGTGCTGCAGAAACTGCTGACGGCACCTGGCTGGAAAGATGGCAGGAAGAATCTGTGTCCAAGTCCAAGAGATTAGTGTTCTTTGCAAGGGAGCTGCTATCCGACAGCAGCGGAGGCTGGCCTTCTGCTACAGTAATCAATTCTGTACTGGGTGCCAGCTGTGGGACTGTGTTATTTCCTTGGCTGGCAGCGAGTGTAGGAACTGAGAGGGCAGAGCACGTGGAGGCAACCTGAAGGACAGAGTCCTGAGGCTGGGGGCAGCCAGGATTGTTGTTGTTGGAGTTGAACATTAACTCTCTAAGAAGTGAGTTGTCACTGCTCTGGAGAACTTGCAGATGAAGAGCTGCAGGAGCTGACTTTTTTCTTCGTGGTGGCACCTTTGGGATGAAGGAAGCGTTCTGGGGAGGCGGTGTGTTGGCCTCAGCTGTGCTTGGGGAGTTGGGCTGCTTGTCACTGCTCCCCCTGCTCTCCTGAGGCTTCCCAGGTTGTGATGTTCTGGGCTTAGGGACTGGAGTAATCTTGGTCGGACTGAGAATAGCTGCATCTTCTAGACAGGGCTCTGGCAAGCCAAAGGGATTCTGTATTGTCTGCTGGTCAAATCGCTCTTCTCTAGATGTGGCCTGAGAGGGGGAAAAGGAGTAATAAATTTGAGAACAAACATGGTACCTTAAACTCTGAGTCACTTCCAGTGCAAGTTTTACTGATGGCATTGCTGAGAAAAGCTGACAGTACTGAAAAAAACAAGCAGTACAGAGAGGCGGCTTGACAGCACCATTTGAAACTGTGCTTGTTTGATTCTTCCTCAAGCATTATGCCTTGGACCAGTGTCCAAGCATGCTATCTGAGGACAAGGATCCTCCAGCCCTGTTCACTCTCTGCATGAAAAATACTTCTCTTTCTGAGCATCTCTTTCTTATGTTAGGATTTAGCTCCAGGCTGAATTAACACAGTTCTGAAGAGTTATTTATTTGTTACATCTCCCTGCTGCCTAGTATTATTTAAGCAAGAATGCATGAGGGCTGAATTAATGGGGCCATGAGCTCACGCCTTTGGCCATGTTCTAGTACGTAAGCTTGAAGGACAATTGGCTTAAACTAACTTAAGAAAGGTATTAATGGCATTGGCACGTCTCACTGATGCTAGGAACTGAAGCTAAAAACAAATTCTCAAAATGCAATTTAGTTTGTATGTTTTTGCTATTTAAAAATACAGAAATGTAAGAAATAGTCCAAAAGGCTGTGGTTGCTTCAGATTTCTCATGCTCACTGTATGTAATCAGTGTAGCTGAATGAAAACATTTTAATGCTTTACTACTGTCCCATAATATTAAACATAATATACAGGTTTCTTTAATGCAGTCCAAATATTTGATGGACGTATCCTCTGCCATAGCTGTCTGTAGGCTGCTATTGAGTTACCTTTGCATACCTTTTTAATAATAGCAGTGGACTGAACAGAGATTTTCTAGTACAGCACTCCGCTCTGAACTCACTTGGGGGAAGAGGTGGAAGTCTGACATGAGAGTCAAACTGAAATAGAGAAATTCCTGCAAAAGCTTTCATACAACACCAGGATAACAGTGCCTCTCAGCACTTTGTAGGAATGCCCTATGCATGGAGGAAGGATAAACATAAAATAAACAGACTAGTCTTGGTTTTTGAGTGATGAAGGAAAGGGCACGCAGGGTGCTGCCTGTTTCTAATTCTTACGTGATTCTGGTAAGTGGAGATGGCCCAAACCCCATTAGGCAGGGGGGAAGGCCTTTGCAAGAGTCCTAACTTAGCACAGAGCTTGCTGAGGCTCTAAGGAAGAATCTAAAAGGTTACATATTTTTGTCTTGAACTTCAACTGCTGCATTTCAGCTGTTCTAAGAGGAAAGAAATTGTAGGCAGTCTGTGTAGAGACCTGACAGAGAGACAGATTAAGAACCCACACCTACAGGTTTGTATTTTTAAGATCCTGATCTGTTGAGTAGAATCCAAAATCCAAAGTGAAACACTGAATCCCATTATCAGGCATGTGAAAAAATAGTTGGATGAACAGGACAGTGAACAGCATATGGAGAAAGAAGCTGACACAGTATGGAGCAGAACACTCTGGCTGTGGTTAAAAGTAAGCACTGTGATAAGGGAGAGATGACTCTTAAAACCTGCACATCAGCTGCCTTTTTCTATTTGGGATTCAAAGCAGAATTTTATTCTGAAGATGTGTACCTCTGCCTTATAGTAAAGCAGCTGGGCTTTGCCCTTTAGTTTAATAAAAAGCCAAAGAGTGCCAGTATTGAAAAAGTCAGAAATTTCTGTGCAATTCTGTACCTGGAAGTCTTTCTTCCTGATTTTACTGAAAACAATCAAACAAAACAAACAAACAAGCAAAAACGTAGCTACAGGTGATGCCAAGATGGCTCTGATGCTTCATAATCAACAGAGTAAAAACACAGGAAGAAAAAAAGCATAGAGGGTGACTTCCACATGAGACAGTCAGTGGTTTTTTGTGGTCTCCTCCTTAAAACAAAGCTGATGCAATGAGGAGAGGAAGCAGAATACTGGAGCCATGACACTTTCACAGTCAGTGCCACATACCTTGACTGTGCTCAGACAAACCAGGAGTAACTACATCTAGGAAAACAGACTCACAAAGAGAAAAGCTGAGTAAAAACCTGAGGTTCCCTTTCCTTTCTTGACTGCCTCAAACATTTTTATGACTACAGCAAGCAATACCATTTCAGAGCCTGCTGACTAAGAACTGGGCACTGTTTAAACGTTAGGGCTTCAAAACAACTGCTTAACAGCTCCCCCCCACACACCCTTTTTTCATCCTTCACACCATTTAAGGCTCCAACTCACATTTTCCATCTTGGCTCCAGCCCTTTGCAGGGGTACTGGCTTCTTCGTAGTTGGAACTTTGGGTGGAGGCCGATGGGGCACAAGTGCTGGTCCTGTCTGTGGGCTCTGAAAGGACAGGGACTTTGTGATGCTGGGAACAGGCTCAGGTTTGGTGAACGTTTGGTTTCGAGTTGGAGCAGGCTTCAGTGCATCTTCCTGTAATCCTGAAAAGCAAAACCAATTAGTGTCTTAGCAGCAAAATACCTCCTTTTACAGTCATGTTTTCCAAAATGTGCATGGTCTAAAGGGCATATACAGTGCTGATGCCCAGAATGCAGGTTTTAGAAAAACAGATCTCTGTGAACCCGTGTCTAGAATTTGTAAGTGACGTTTTGTAAACAGCAATTGAGGAAAACCTTCCCTGTATGAAATCACAGATCACAGAATCATCCGGGTTGGAAGGGACCTCAAGGATCATGTAGTTCCAACCCCCCTGCCTAGCAGGGCCACCAAACACACACATTCAGATCAGGTTGCCCAGGACCCTGTCCAACCTGGCCTTAAACACATCCAAGGACGGGGCATCCACAACCTCCCTGGGCAACTTCATGCCAACATGCAGCGCTGTGTCACCACTGAGCCAAGTGGGTTAAACCACTGCTGGGGTGCAGAAATACTGGGCTCACATTCTGAGCCTCCCTTTGCTCCAGTTCTCTGATCTGGATAAACAAGGTGACAACACTGCTTGCTTCCTGTAAGCAAAGAATTGTAAATGCTAACTAGGGTACAGCACAAGCTATTGAAAGCTATGCTGACTAGGCTGGTTTCCTTACCCAAGCTGATGAAATGAAATTTCAAAATTAACGGGGAGTAAACTTGATTTCAAAGATAAATGTACAGCAGTGTCTGAAGAACAACCATCAAAGTACCTTTATGATATTCCTAATTAAAATGGATTATTCCAGACTGCACTGTGTTTACAAACAAAGGGGTTGTTCTTCTCCTAAACTGAGCACCTTGCAGACTCAGATACTGCTCCCCAATCATAATGCATTCTTTCTTCTTTATACAGCATCAGCAAAAAAAGGCTGCTTGACACTCCAGAGAGCATATTCACACGGCCTAAATTTCCTGCTGAGTTGCCCTTGTGAAAAACTCTCATCTCCATGGCTTTGACATATAGAGAGTATATACTTATAGAGAGTAGCCTTTCTGCACAGATATTTCAGCTAAAGGTACTACAGACTTCTATGCAGGCAGCAACTATACTTGTTATGCAAATGTGAATAAAATCCAGGTTATTTCTCCTACTGCTGTATTTGCTCTATAGCTCAGTTAGAAACAGTGAACATCACTAAGTGGAGCAGCAAATGTAACTCTGAGGTAACACAAGCACTCGATTCCAGCTTTCTTTTAATTTTTCAGACTAGATCTGGACATCAATAATCCAAATGCTCATAGCAACAGGTTCTGCAACAAAATATTCAACTTGAGTTACCTTGGAAAAACAAGGCCAGCATTATCAAAACTGACAGATAACACTAAGAAAAGTCTTGTAAGAATGTGCATGTCCATGTTCAGCAGAGCCTCTGAATAGAAATAAACGCATTTGGGCTATGACAGCAGAAGGATAAATACACCTGCAGAATTCTGTATTTAAAGATTTTTGGAAAGTCCATTAGAAAGCTAGGCTTACCTCCTTTAACTTCCATAAGACATCTGATAGCTTCTTCTGCTTCCTCAGCAGTGGTGGTTTTGATTTGCTTGACATTGTAAGGTTTACTTATTCCAGTACGAACTTTAGGCTTCGATAAAAAATACAAAAATGAGTAATGCTGAATCATTTTTTCTTGTGTACTTGTGATCTTATGGCTAAGCTCACACACCTGTAAAGCTCTGGTTTTGCCAATGGCTGTTCAGAAATCTAGAAATCCTACAGAAATGGTGGAGAGTCTTTTGGCAAGCACTGGGCCTT